TACGGAAGCCGATATTATCCTGCAGGTTGCCCACGTCGTTCTTGAAGTCGATTTCGCTCTGGTACCTCTGGATGGTGGTTTCGAGGACCGACATGTCTACCTAGTAGAGGAGTGCTTGTGGCGATAGCGATATCGATCTCGGCCTCTGCGGAGGTGGGGGTGCTGGTGGTGTCGGAGGTTGCACGCGGTCCCGCGTGGCGATGGGTGGGTACGTCATGTCGTGCCCCTTGCCGTCGTAGAAGCACTCGTCGTTCTCGGATGACAAGCTCGACCCCATCCCGTAGTTAGTAGTACGCTGCCTGGATCGTCCCACGTCGTTTCCTTGGTGTCCAAGTTGAAGTCGTAGAGCTGGGCATTCCACATGTTCAACTCGCCTGAGTATTTGCAGGCGACCCATTGACGCGGTAGAGGCAGTCGATGGTTTAGTGACGTAGGTAACTCGTTGGGGAGTCTTGCTCTTTACTCCAATCTTCAACACGAATACTACCCTCTTACTCCTCCTACTCCTCCATTGCTCAATCTGAAAACTACCCTCTTCTCTTCCCCGAAGATGACTGGGGAGTAGCCCCCTTCTATCATTCCCCTTCCTCGCCCCTCTCGTCATCGTCTTACTCCTCCTCGGCGTTGGCCTCAGCCTCAGTTGCCGGCTCCGCCCCGACCACCGCGCCGCCGCGGCATCCGCGAGCCGTTCGCATGCGGGCGCGATTGCCATTTTGTGGCCTCTCGGCGCAGATATCATATGCGTCAAGCTTGCCCACATGGGATTGCGCAGGACTCGATACATAAGAGTCGACACTTGCGAATTGCGCTACCACTGAGCACGAAGGTTGCTACTTGCTTTGTCCTTCATCTCGTCCCGTTCATGTTTTGTTCTTACCCCCTGATTCGGATTATGCTGCTGCTCATCCTCGCCCAACACCTCGTGCGCTGACAGCGGCTGAATTTCGGCAGAAATCACCTCAGGCCGATGTCGCTGATCCATGCGTTGCTCGGCAATAGGATTCCCCCCACCCGACAGGAAGGGGCTGTTCGGTTTTAAGGTACATGCCGCCCGTCAGCCCTGCATGCCGCGGCCACCAAGCTCAAAGAATCCGCAGCAGCCCCAGACGATCCCGCCTCGCCAGACCTGCATACAGTCAACGCGCACAGTAAGGACGCGTGCCTTGTCGAGGGTACCCTTGTGTCCTTGCCCCGCACCCCGGTCCGCCCTCCGGCCGCCTGAGGCCCCGCCCGCCTGTGCCCTGTCTCCCCAATCAGAGCTGTGCGTAGCCCGCCTAGCTTTTACCGGAGGAGGTTCGCTCTCGCCCCGCAGACCAAAAAAGAGAATTGTGTCTTTGCCCCTGCGGCCCGTCCTTTGCCGTTCCCACTGGCCAGCCTCTGCTCGGGCCGCCGCCCAGCAAGTGCCAATTTCGGCCTCCAGGGGTCTTGCGTCCTTGCCACCCGCCCTTACTACACGATTTCACTGTACCCCGGTCGCCAGGCCCAACGCATCCCCGCACATCCCCAAATATACTGCTTCGCCGAGCCCGACCAGGGAGGTGTCACGCCGTCTAGGCGTCACGACGTCACGCCGTCTGCAGAGATCATGAACGGACACCCGGAACATCATCCAGAATCGGCAGCCATCGATACATTGAGGACGTATGCCAGTATCAGACATCAATAACCAGCATCAGCATTTTTCATCAACGACAGGCATCAGTAACTCAGATCAAGCACAGGTCTCAAGAGCAACCACCAACGTCACACAACACTATTAGGCGTACACATCCGACATGCAGAAAACTAGCCACAAAAACATACATCGGTCCCATGCATCAGTAACATACGCCGATGACATGCACCTTGATCATGAATCAAACAGACCTATGGGCACATAGATCGATCGCAGACGCATTCATCATGCAACAAGGGGACAGGCGACGATAAGGTTCACCAAGAAAGTGCATCAACAACTGGCAACGAAGAACCCAACAATAATGACATTCACCAATGATTTGCATCCATATTTAACAGTGGCTAGCACCAATAGCAGGCAGCACTGACTTACACACGATATGCGTGGCGAACACCGCAAGGCCCTGTACCACGATTACAAATCCTAGACGCTTCGCGTATCCCCACATGCCATCGCTCCTGGTACGTACATGTGCGCGCTCCTGGGCCTGGTTCCTGGCAGCTGCAGCCCGCACCCCCCCTCTCGCCGGCCCGCCCGCTTAGGTGTTGCTTAGGTCGCCGGCCCGTCGGCGTTAGGCAATTCGGCTCTTGCGCGGCCCGCTCGGAACTTACTCGCCGGTGGCGCTCTCGCCTGCGGCTGTGACGCAAACGTATCCCCACCAACCCGTTGCATCGGCGTTTCGTTCTGACGGCGCCCGGCGTCTTCCGGTGCGCTTGCGATCAAAAAAATATCCCCACCAGCCCACCAAGAAACGATGCCCAGGCGTATTGAGGTGATCAGGGAAGTGCGGGGGCAAAGAAGGGGACGGCCGAACCGTGCGAAGGAGGGAGGGGGAGAAGGAGGAGGCTGGATGGAGGGATGAGGGAGTGGGGAGAAGGAGGATGAATAGGATGAGGACCAGGAGGAGGAGGAAGAGGAAGAGAAGGAGTAGGAGGAGGAGGGAGGAGCAGGAGGAGGAGGGCAAGCGAAAGGCCAGAGGTTTCTTGGATGCCTCCCGGAGCTTTTCGGGGTATCTCTTGGGCGTTTATTGATGGCCTCTTGGGACGTCTTGGGTGTCTTGGGCGTCTTGGGTGCCTGGGGGGGCCTCTTGGGCCGCTTGCGGTCCCCTTGGAGGCCTCCTGGGGGTTTCTCGGGGGCCTCCTGGGGCCATTTTGGGGCCATATTGCGACCTCCTGGGGCCTCCTAAGCGCCTCTTGGGCCCATCTTGGAGGAGATCGATCAAAGACGAGGGGAGCTCATTTAGCGCCGCCTCCCAAGAGGCCAAACTGGCACCATATGCTTAAAAAACCTGATGATTGTGGCTTCCTCGCCGAAACCGTTTTGGACGCTTCAATGGGTCGCGGCACCGCCCGTCCAGGTGATGGGCAGCTATTGGGGGCCAATCCGCAGCCGCCGCAGCCGCCGCAGCCGCCGCCGCCGCCGCACCCGCCGACGCTGCCCGCCGCCGCCGCCGCCGCGCCGCCGCCGCCGCCTCCGCTGCCACTCCGCCGCGGCCGCTGCCGCCGCAGCCGCTGCCGCCACCGCCACCGCCGCCACCGCCGCCGCCGCAGCCGCCGCCGCCGCCGCCGCCGCCCGTGCCGCCGCCGCCACTGCCGCCGCCGCCGCCGCAGCCGCCGCAGCCGCCGCCGCCGCCGCCAAGTGTACTCTGGATTCCTCTTTGATAGGGATGGTGGGAGGAGGCCGCATCGGGTTGGCTGCGCATGCCCCGAATTTGGACGCAGACTCTGTTTTGTATGTTTTTTTTTACAAGGGGTGGTGGTGGTGTGGGCTTTCATGGTTCCTGGTTGGTTACCAGTCGCTTGGGGGAGGGAGTGTTTATTAATAGGGAGCAGTGATAAACCCGTCCCCGAAGGGGAACAAGGGGGGGGGGAAGAGGAAACTCTTTAAACCACCTACGCCAAGAGGGCTAGCGGGACCAAGTTCATACATCAAGTACGGGAAGCATGCACAGCACATTTGCAGGAACATACAGCAACAATATATTCCAAAGACCCACCGCAACAACACCTACGCGTAACGCATGCCACTTCTGCACGGCAGCCGCATACGTCGATAACAAGCATAAAAGCACGTGTTGCACTTATGAGAAAACATCGATTGGCTTATATGACAGTATCGCAAGCACTCCACGCTTGCCCGCGTCCTGCCGATTGTTTATTGATCCCTCTCACACTACATACACATGCTGTTTACTGGATGTGCCCGATCAACCCGTTTTGACATGTATTTCCAGATATCTGCTCTCTATCGTCCGTTATTTCTCTCTCTCTCTCTCTCGCTTTCTATATTTTTATATCTCTCTCTCGCTCGTTATTTCTCTCTCTCTCTCTCTCTCTCTCTACCTCTCCATCTCGTTACATAGTTCTATGCATATGCATACACCTGCTTGGCCGTGGTCGCAAGCAGTCCATCTCGGTCTCTTTATTTCTCTACCTCTCTCTCTACTCCGTTGTTTTTTTTTATGGTGTTGTTCTCTCTCTTTCTCCCTTTTTTTCCTCTCTCTCTCTCTGTCTCCCGATATCCCTGTTCTTGTTTCTGTGACTACTTTAGTTTCTTGCCCATATACTATATGACGTCGCTCTACCTCCTAATCTCCTCAACTATGTGATTTTCATCCTCTTTGCTTGGGAACCCCAGAACCCAGCCACTTACCAACATCGGCCCTGCGTAGGTAGGTCCCCTTGAGTGTAAGTTTTGATTGGGGAGTTGACGACATGCATCCTCAATATCGCACACGATGTACATACCCCAGAACCGACAGCAAAAACATGCATACATCATTAATACCCATGCAAGGCGGCATCACAGACATTACGCACACGATCATCACATACACACAGTTACGCATGCATGTGTATATACGTACGAGCGGCACACAGATTCTGTATCACACACATAGCAGGCATCACCGTCGTATTTTAATATCAGACGAGCCATTTTGTAGTACTGGTATACGATCACAGCAGACAACTCGAAATGTCTTCAATGGCAGAATGACATAACATGCACCTCTAGCAGCTGATAATACATAGCTACGTCGCACACATGAGATTCGGGATGATAGGACGCACGCGCACACACCACACATCAGAATGCATGAACATCGCTCGCACAGGCCAAGCATAGGGGACATGTGCAACGAGCACGCATCAGCAACACAGCAGGGCCGCACACGACTGGTTTCGTAACTATCGCAGCAGTGGCGGGCATCGCCCAAAGCGGAACACCGTCTGGTATTTATGTCAAGTATTCTTTGGCAATGCGTGAGCAAGCGCCCGCCCTGCAATTCCCCTCCGTGGCGTTGCCGCCGCAGCTCGGCCAGGTTCCAGGCCGAGGTGAAGCAGAAGCAGGCCAATGCCATCGCCCAGGAGAAGGCCGAGTTAGAGAGGAGCCGGGCAGGGAAAGCGGCAGATTTTTAGCATCAGGAAGAGCAGCAGCAGCTCAGCAGGAGGAGTCGAGATGAGGGGAGAGGACGGGAGGCAGGAGGAGAAACGGGGGGAGAGGGAGGAGGCGGAGGGGGAGGTGGGCAGGGTGGCCACTCAGAGAATGACCATTGCTTTTATTCCGGACAGTTTTGCTCAGCAGCAGGCCTCGCCTCCCCCGAATGCCACTACACGGATACTACTCGGCCCATACTACCACGGCACGAGCTGATCGCACATTTGCTGGCATGAGATAAGGATCTATTTCTTCACGCATCGCGTCTCCCCACCAGCCCATTCAGAAGCCTTGCCCATGAGAGCTGACGGGGAAAGGGATGAAGAGACAAATACAGTTAAACAGAGCGGGCAATCAGGGTGAACAGAGAGATCTCTGGAGCAAGGGGGTGGCCTTGAAGACGACGAGGGAGAGGATGACAATACAAGGGAAGACGATGAGGGCAAGGACGAGGACGAGGACGAGGACGAGGAGGAGACGGAGGACAACCAGGAGTAAGACAGAGCCCGCAACATCACCTCTTGGAGCCCTGGAGGATCTTGGGGTCCCTTTGGGGATCTTTTAGCTGGTCTTGGGGCCCTCTTTGGGCTCTCTTGGGGGCCTCTTGGGGGCCCTGAAGGGCCTCTTGGGGCTATCGTGGAGGGCGTCGGTGAAACGAAAGGAGTCCAAACGTTTGGCCCCCCCCATCCCCGCGTCTGGGGCCCTCGACATCGCCCCTTGGAGCGCTCCTGGTGCGCTTTTAGAGCGATCTTGTGCGCTCTTGGGGTCGTCTTGGGGGCCTCTTAGGCCCATCTTGGGGCTCTCTTCAGCCATTTGAGGGCAAGCTGGAGGCCTCAACGTGTATCGGAAGCAAAAAGATGAGAAGGCAGTAGGATCTTGGCCTCTTGGGGGGGTCCTGAGGGGGGTTCGAGATCACTTGGGTCAGTCTTGTGGCCCTCGTCGGGCCTCGTGGAGGTTTGTCGGAAGCTATCTTGAACTACCTTCGGCTATCTTGAGCCGCCCCAGAGGCCATTTTGGACCATCGGAGGCCTTATTGGAACCATCGTTGGCACCTTGACCGGTTGAGAAACCCCAGCAATCCTCAGGGAGGGGGAGGGCACTTTTCCCGAAGGGAAAGGGCTATTGGAATAGGAAAGAAAGAACCCGGTAGACCCCCTTAGCCCAACGGGTTGGTGGGATTGCGTATGGTTCCCGGTACGAGTTTTGAAGCAGAAGTATACGCACACATAGACACAACAATGTGTTGATTCCCCCGGGGATTCGCGCTGACATTCAGAGGCTGCGCAAGCCGCCCCCGTTCTCAAACAGCGTGTCCCTGTGTGTTGCGTGTGCATTTGTAAGTAGTTTGAAGGTGCGCTCCGTGGGGTGGCGTTGCATAGCTTGCTTTGCCCGCTACCGTCGGGCCTCAAGGCAGCGCTGCCCCATGTGCCTGCGCTGCCTGACCGCTGTGCGAAATATGCGGTGGGGGGGGGGGGACAAAAGGGTTTCTGCTCCCTCCCATCGCCATCCCCTCATCGTTACTGTACGGCCGTCTGACCACGCACGATGGTGTCCTAACCTCGTTTTATACTTGGTAGCGGAGCTGTCGCACCTGCTGCAGCTCTGGTGATATCCGCCTTCGGCGCGCTGATCACCTGCGCCGAGCTCCGCCAACGTATTTGCGGAAACGCAGAGAACCACGTGGACTAGAGCACGATGATCATCGCCCGCCTCTGTACCACTCCACTGACACCATCTCGGGCGACGAGTGCGCTGGGAAACTTGACCGTTCACGCGAAGGCCTTCCCTATCAGTTCGTCGACACCGTCGACAACTTGCACCACTACAACCGACCAGCCTCCTAGTTCGAAAGGAACCTCGACCGCAACTACGACGGCTTCAATTTATTTCGGCAACATCCTCTGCTAAGGGCGCCGAAACGTGACGTCCAACCCCTACGTCGAGCGCGGGCGCGTGACGAACAGGTTTTTCCACGACGGCGAGGAGCGCCGACTGACGAACTCACCGCAACATGAAACCGATCGTGGACACACGCTCAGCGCCTTCACCGTCGACAGCACCCACATCAACGTTCACTACTTCAGCCGCATCATTATCATTCTCTGGTGGAGGCATACTTGGACACATGGTGCGCGAACGCGAAGGTGACCGAAGCCTGGACTTTCGTGAGGCCCGGCAGGCAACGCACCCAACCGGGAGTGGTTTCGCGAAATCCATGCGCGTTTGAACGCGCAGTCGGATATAATGATACCGTCACAGCAAGTTGCGGTTATGCAGCGGGCCCCCCAAGGCCTCGCGCGCAGCCTGACGCCGCGCATCCCGTCAGACGCCTTAGTCTTCGGCGCCGGGGTGAACGGTCCCACGGCGGACCCCGCGACGTACCTCTTCTTTTGCTTAGCGCAGACGTCCGAGAGCCTCGAGGACGACGAAGAGCTATTACAAGGAGCTCATGGACTTCCATGCCATGCCCAGCGAGTGCATCGGCAGCGCCCCGGCCCGTTGGGAGGAAGTTAGGTCGGTGGCTGAAACAGCTGGGTTCGGATGGGGCAACTTCCAGCTCTTGTTCGCCAGTCTACTACGAGCTCTACGTGTACCGCCACACGAAGTGTCAACACAACAACGGCCGTTGAACAGCATGACGCCTAGGAATCAGCCGGCATGCGATCATCCGGCGTCGACGTCGCGTTGTTGAAAGAGTACCGACCTGACCGCAGTGACGCATCCCCGACGACTGGCAACGCCTACCTGCTTGGCGGAGACGCACTGGCAAACGGCCACGCGCACCCAAGTGAATTTGGACCCGCGCGCTCGGACCTTCGCCTCCAACACCATTCAGACACCTCCCGGCGCCAATGGAAACTCGACCGCCCGGGCGCCGCCCCCGCCCACTGCACCAGCTACGCGACGCGAGCTGCACTTGGGATGGCTTGGCGTGTGCGTTTGCTGCGCGGCGTGAGCAGGTGGTTTCATGCCAGACAATACGAGAATGGAAGATGGGGGAGATGTTAGCAAGTCTGCGCGACGCGCCCGTCGCGCCACCTGGCGCGCGCAAGGAAATCGGCAGGGGTGGACAAGGCGCGGTATTCGCGCCATCGCTGCCGCCTCCAATGAGGGCGCCCGCGAGGAGCTGCCCTTCGGCCGGCGCGGGAAAGGCCGGGGAAAGTGCCCCCGAGTCGCTCGCGATCTTCCGGACAGGGAAATGGCGGAAACCTAATCTTGTAGGTCGAGGCGGCAGGGTCATGGCGCAGCATAGTTGCGGGCCCGCGCAGCGCCCGGCGCGAGAACGCGCCCAACCCGCAGGTCAGACGCCGCCAGGCGAGAACGCGCTGCCCGCGAGCACGAGCGCCCTGACTTCCCAATGCACAATCAACCAGAACAGCTGTGCGTCATTGAGACGACGGGGGAGTATGTTGCTTGATATGTGAGCAGGTTTCTCGGGGCTACGATCGCGATCGACCAGGGCGCAGGGAAGGGGTCGGGGGGGGGGCCGGGGCGGGCGACGGGCGGAGAATGGCTGGGTGGGGGGCCCCATGACCTGAGGTCCGAGGAAAGCGAGGATGCTGGGGTGCGGGGGGGGGGGTTGGCAGGGGCCCCAGGCGAAGAATGGCTGGGCGGGGGGGCCCGAGGACAAAGTTCCCAGCAGAGCGAGGGCGCCGGAGCGTAGGAGAGGCGGGGGGGGGGGGGCAGGCGAAGAATTGGCTGGTTGGAGAGCCCAACAACAGAGGTTCTAGGAGAGCGAGGGTGCCGGGGCGTAGGGGGGGGGGCGGGAGGGGGCCAGGGGGGGTCCAGGCGAAGAGCGGCTGGGTGGGGGGGCCCGAAGAGGTCCGAGGAGGGCGAGGATGCTGGGGCGCGGTAGGGGCCAGGGAGGGTTCCGGGCGAAGAATTGCGGCGCGGGGGGGGGGGGACAGAGAGAAGTTCCATGAGGGCGAGGATGCCGGGGCGCAGGGGGGGGCGCGGGAGGGGTCGGGGTGGGCACCGGGCGGGAACAAAGGTTTCAGGAGAGCGAGGGCGTTGGGGCGCAGAAGGGGGGTCGGGGCGGGTTCCAGGCGGGGGCGCAGGAGGGGCGCGGGAGGGAGTCGGGGGGAAGGCCCGGGCGAAGAATTGCTGGATTGGGGGTCTCAAGAGCAGGGTTTTAGGATCCTTCTCCGAGAGCATGGGGCCGCGGCGAGGGCGGGGGGGGCCTGGGCCCCCCGCCGCTCGAGGGGTCGGCGGCCACGCTCCCGCCGCCGAGGCGCGGGCCGCGGGGGGCCCCGCAGGGCGTCGTCCTGGACAGACCCCGCACGCAGCCCCGCCCCCCGGCATCGACCCGCCGGGGGCGGGGCAGGCGCCCGCGGGGACCTCGGGCGCCGCGGGGGGGGCCCAGAGAGCCGGGGGGCAGGGGGCGAGGTGGGCTTGCGAAGTGGGGCCCGCGGCCATCCTGCCGCCAGAGAAACACAGAGACAGTGAGCGAGAGAGAGAGAGAGAGAGAGAGAACATGGAGAGAGACAGAGAGAGAGAGAGAGAACGAGACCCCAATCCCCCAACCCCTAAACCCTAAACCCCAAGCCCCCAACCCCTGAGCCCGAAACCTCAAGCCCCCAAACCCTCAGCCCTAAACCCCACCCTGGCTGAACAAAGCCGAGGCGGTGGACCTCGAGCTTGGGGAAAGCCATCCGGGGCGGGGGGGGGGCCCGACGGCCCGGCGCCCTGGCCCGTGGCATAGAGCTCCTGCGAGGCGCCGCGGGCGACAGGGAACAGGGCCCGGCGCAACCTGGGGGGTGCGCAGCGAGATGGGGGCCTGCGCCCGCAATGCGCACATGGAGGTATTCTCAGACCTCTTCGACAGGACAGGGAGCGGCGCCCGCCCCGGCGCGGGGAAGACGCGCTGGCTCGGGGAGGCCGCGCCGCTGCTGGAAGCGGTCTTGGCCCGCGCGGGGGAAGAGCTCAAGTCTACCTCCCTTCGCACATATCGCGCGTTATGTGGCCTCCAACCCACCCACCCACCCAGTGCATACCATAGCGCCCGTCACCCCACCCACCCCCGTCGCAGCATCGCCCATGATGAAGCGCAGAGTTATGCTGTTCGTAGTTCGCACGCCACGTGTTCGCAGCGCGCACACGTGCGCCTGTGGTATGTAGCGGCGCGTGGCGCGCGCAGACTGTTGTCGCGCACTTCGCGAGTAAACGAATGAGCTGCTCCAGCTCCGCAATGGTCGGTTCCGTCTGTTCCAGTGCCACTGGCTGCTGAGCCACGAGCTGAGGTCCAGCACGAAGAGGAAGTGGCTGTCCAGCTGGCTGATGACCTCCTTGGCCTTGAGCCCAAACTCCACCTGCGACGGGAGGCTGCTAGGTGAGGTCGTGGGGTCTTGCACTGCTTGCAGAACCACCAGCTGGCCTTGTTCTTCTTGCACCCACATGATGTGCAGCGCCACGGTGGGCCACGCTGGTACTGGTGCCAGTGCCATTGCGTCCAGCCCTTGTTCCCTTGGCCTGCAGACCAGCCCGTGCCGTCGGGTTGCCCAGAGGGGGCTGCCCACCCCGCGCCGCCAGGAGCACCAGCGGGAGGAGCAGGCGGAGGCGGCACCATGGCGCTGGCGTTGGAATGATGATACTTTGCTTTCACCGCCTCGCGGGCGGCGCTCAAGCGAGTACACGAATGGTCCAGCACAAGGTGAGACTGACCAGGTGGATACCTGAGCCAGAATGCGCTTGAGAGGAGCAGGAGGAGGAGGAGCATGAGGAGGAGGAGGGGGAGGAGGAGGAGGAGGAGGAGGAGGGCGCCATCGACAGGGAAGGTGAGGGCCACGAGGTCCGCCGGCTCGTCGTTGATCGTTGACCGGCGCCCGCGCCCGCCCCCTCACTCTTATCCGCAATTGCGGGGTGCTGCGTATATATAATGAAGGAGGAGGAGAAGGAGGAGGAGGAGGAGGAGGAGGAGGAGGATCATCACTGCTGTTGGTTGAAGCACGGGCAAGTCTCCATCACTTGTGGGGGCGTTGTTTGGTGAATGGCGCTTCCAGCTATGCCTGGCCTAACACGGCGGAAATGGGCAGTCAGTGCGCGGAGGTGATTCGTCTGGAGCACGGGTCGACGTTCCACCTCCGGAAGACCCTGCTATTCGCTGGCCAGTATCCCCAACACACCCCATGCCCTTGTAGGAGGAGGATGAGGAGGAGGAAGAGGATGATAATGAGGAGGAGGAGGAGGAGGAGGAGGAGGAGGAGAAGGACCTCAAACATAGGATGCCCTGCACACCCCCAGCGCCTCTCGGGTGGGTGGCAATGGGGGAAGATGGTGGAGAAGCAGACGCGGGGCGAAGGAAGCTGAGTTTCGCCGGCGCCTTGTTTGGGAGTGGCCGCGGCGGCAGTTTACGGGACCTTTGGGGCCCATTTTGCTGGAGCTTTGGATCGCCCTATGCTTATTCGAAGGAAGAGACACGATGGTCATTACCCAGAGGTCGCGGGATCTTGGCGACGGCGATCGTAGTCATTGTCCATTCCGGCCGTCGCCACTTCGCGGGGATGATTCACGTTTTGGGTTCCCAAGATCGGCACCGACGTTTCCGCGCTCAGTCTTGATAAGTTGAACGATTTCAGCCCCTCCACTTACTCCCCGCTCCTCTTTTCGTAACACCCGCCCGACCCCTCGCAGGATCGAGGAGTTCGCGCGGAAGAAGCGCGAGTTCGAGGAGGAGTTGGAGGCCCAGAAGGCGGAGGCCGAGCGCGAGAAGGTCCGCATCCTCAACAACATGTTGGGCGTGATGGAGGCACGGTTGCCTTGGCCCCCGCCCTGACGCGAGGGGCGAGCACGTATCTCCTCGGGGCGGAAGGGATTCGATAGGATTATTGAGATGATGAGGGAACAGGGCTTAGGCAGGAGGAGGAGGAAGAGGAGGAGGGCGGGGAGGAATTTGAAGGGGGGAAGGATGATGATGCTGCTGCTGTTGCTGCTCATGATGATGATAATGCTGATCATGATGGTGATGATGATGATGATGATGATGATGATGATGATGATGATGATGATGGTGATGATGATGATGATGGTGATGCTGATGATGCTGGTCATGATGGTCATGATGAAGATGATGAGGATGATGAGGACGAGGAGGAGGAGGAGGAAGAGGAGGAGGATGAGGATGAGGATGAGGCTGATGGTTAGGAGGAGGAGCAGGAGGAGGATACTGATGATGAGGAGGGGGAAGACGACGAGGACGAGGACGAAGATGAGTACAAGGACGAGGACGAGGATGAGGACGAGGAGGAGGATGAGGAGGAGGAGGACGCGGACGAGGACGAGGACGAGGCTGAGGAGGAGGCTGATCCGGAAGGATGATGATGATGATGATGATGATGATGATGATGATGATGATGATGATGATGATGATGATGATGATGATGATGATGATGAACAAAAGAGAGGAGGAGTAGGAGGAGGAGGAGGAAAAAGAGGAGGAGGACCAGTGTAAACCCAACAGTCATCAACAATGTTGGAATACACCCTTCCTCCAAACTCCCTCTTCATAGGCCCCTACAACGGTTCATTTCCGCTGAGGGAATTGCCTCGTTGGAAGACAACCGTGTGAAGACCCTCAAAGCATGCCCAAACATCGTTCTCGGGATTCCGACGCCACGGATCAACTTGATTGTTACGTCTTGACGATCTTGCATCGTACCAGAACGCCATCCCTGGGATTCCAACGCCGCGAATCAACGTAATTGTTGCTCCTCCCAAATCTTGATCCTTCCAAACCACCATCTCTGGTACGCTGACCATTGGAATCCGCGAAACTCTTGCAGTCTTTAAAACGAATGTGCGCGTCGCCAATGCGAGAGCCACATTTTGAAAACCAGCCGCTTCCAATCCGTGAAACTGCATTTTTTGGTTTTTGAAAAAGGAATGTGCGCGGCGCTAAGGCGAGAGCCACATTTTCAAAACCACCCGCCTTAAATCCGTTAAGTTATTGCAGCGTTTAAGCACGAATGTGCGCAGCGCTGAGGCGAAAGCCACATGTTGAAAACCACCCGCGCTCAATCCGTGAATCTCCTGCAAACGTAAAAAACGAATGTGCGCGGCGCTAAAGCGAGAGCCACATCTTGAAAACGGCCCGCCCGCAATCCGTGAAGCTCTTGCAACTGTTTGAAACAAGTGCGCGCGGCGCTGAAGCGAGAGCCACACTTTCAGAATTTACCAGCCCTTCATCTGCGAAGTTGTAGCCGCGTTTCAAGCTTCAGGGTCCAATTTAGGGAGGCAGTCTGAGGCGAAACACCAAGCCCGCCCTAGAAACCGGCCCCGGGGTGCGACAGGGAGAAGTAATTTATATGGAAAAGGAATGGTGGAGGAGGGGCAGGAGGATCGGCGGGGGACGAGGAGTACGAGGGATGGTTCGGGGCGACGGGGGGAGGAAAAGCATGGGGGGGGCAGGAAAAGCGCGATGGGATCTGCGGTGATTGTGGAGCGGCACGCTTGGGGGTCTGCGGGTCCGTCTTTGTGCCTTCCCGTCAGGCCCTCTTGCAATTTGAGGCTGGTCTCGGTAGGCGCATCGCTTGGTCCCGCTCAGGGATTGAGATAAGCGGCCACGCCCGTTGCGTGATCCGTGCGTTTCGATCTCCGTAGCCATGTTGGCTCATGGCCTTGCTGGCCCCCCTAGCCGCGGGCTCGACGGGCGCGCGCGGGGGCGGCGCTATGGCGCGGGAGCCCGTGCGAGGGGTTGCCGCGGCTCGCGATGCTGCTGGCCGCTTGGCGAAACGCCTCGCGAAGGCGATCGAGACACTCGAGGAGCAAACGGCGGCGGCTGAGCAGGCCATCGACGCCGTTGTCGGAGATGATGAGGTTGCCGCGCGGGTGCACGCGATGCTGCCCGCGCGCGCGGACGTCGTGGCTGGCCGCCCATCGCGGTGGATCTATCGGATCCGCCGCGAAGTGGCATTGCGCGCCGAGGCCCAGGGCATCGAAGTCCTAAGGGCGAGCGGCCGTGAGCTACGAGGTGCTCAAGGTGGAGTCCGGTTGGAAGCGCGGCTGTTCGAGGGGAAGGCTTGGGACATCCAGATGCGCGCCGAGGCGCCGCCCTTCGTCCCGAACGGCGGGGTCTGGGGCCCCCTCGGACGCCGCTGCGCGCGCGGGGCTATCTATCGTTCACTCCTCCTACGACGGGCCGCCACCAAACCGCCGCTTCCAGGAGGCGGCGGCCTGCGACGAGGGCCTCAGGGCGCAGGGGCCGATCTTCGTGCCTCAGGGCCCTTTCACTGGGCATCACCCTGCCGCGCGCTGTGGGCGGCGCGGCTGAGGAAGGTTTTTGGAAGGTTGTTTGGAAGGTTTTTGTGAGGTTTCTGTTCGGTTTTTCTGAAGGTGTTTGGAAGGTTTTTGGAAGGTTGTTTGGAGGTTGTTGGAAGGTTGTTTGGGAGGTTTTCGAATGATTTTTGAAAAGGTTTTTGGAATGTATTGGGCGGTGTCGCTACATGTTGGGAGGTTTTGGGAAGGGGTTGCAAGGTTTTTGGAAGGTTCCCAAAGGTGGTCAAAAGGTTGTTGGGAGGTTTTCGGAAGGCGTTTAGAAGGTTGTTTTGGAAAAGCCGCCCTGCAACCCCCCTCGCCCCCCCTTCCCCCTTTTCCCCCGGGGGAACCTTCCAAAAACCTTCCTAAAGATTTTTTCAGGAAGGTTCCAGGAGGGATTCGTCGGAACTCCCGCACCGGTCTCCCCCCCTTCCCCCTTTTCTTCTTCCTCCTCCAGCTAATGCTGGAGGGAGTCGGAACAGTGTAGTTTCGATTCGCGATATGGCTGCGCCCCCCGGGGTGCATCTTTTCCACGTTTCTTTTGGCCCGCGGCCCGTGCTTGAGGTGGGGGGGAGTTCGTTACCTTTCACGCTCTCGCTTTCTCCCATGCCACGGTTCACTTCGCGAGTTTGCCTAATGCAGGTCGGCTTGCGGGTTGCATTCGGTTCGTTCGGCGCTTCTTCCTAGTATCTAGGCCTGGTGCGCGCCCCCATGCTGGCAGTGGGAAGCCGCAGAAACACAAGGAAACCAAAACATTACAAAAGCATGTAAATACTGGTTGGTGGCTGGAACGTTACGCGAACCGCTGGAACAACCAAAAATAACAAATCCCAAGGAGAGCCGTCCGAAGGGAAACGTTCGAAGGGGGGGGGCGCATTCTCGGTGGACGTTGTTTGTTTGCTTTTGTCTGTTGCCCCATGGTTTCAGTCTCCAACGTTTCGGTTTCTTTATGCGTTCGCTGCATTTATTTTGAGTTTGTTTCCAAAGTTTTGGATTTCCTCTTCGTCCTCGTCTGAGGAGCCATCCTGCCACATGGCCGCGGAGATCTGCCCCTGCAGCCTTGGTGGTCGCGCAAACGTCCAACAGCCAGACACCGTTGACCAAGGCCCACAGCCAACGGCCGTTGACTCTCAACTGAGGCCTACAGCCAGCGGCTGTTGGTCGTCGCCAGGCTGTGGGAATACCTTTGCTTGTCTGTTTGACTTCAGGGGGCGCAGAATTCCTGAATCAGGATTCCTTTACGGGTGAGTTGTTTTATTAAGGAGGCGCTCCTAGGAATACAGACCAAGGGTTCCCTAGTCCGGAATCGTTTCTAAGGATTCCCTTTTTTTCCAAAAGGTTCCGTACTAATGATTCGTTTGCTTTGATTCATCACGAATGGGCTCGTATCACGGATCCGTGATGAAGGCATCTTTTAAAATGGGAATTGCAGGATCCTTTTAACAAGGATTCCGTACGCATGATACTTTACATATCATTTTTTCGACGGGTACCTCACGAAGGATCCCCCCGCATCAAGAAATCCTTAATACGGCCGCCACACCAAGGATCCGTCACATAATCTCTTCCATCGAGGATTATTTAACAAGGGTTCTTTACTTAGGGTTCCTTAGTACGGATTTGCGATCAAGGGTTCCTGAATACGGATTCCAAGTAAGGAGAACTTGCACAGGGCTCCCGATTTAGTACTCTTTACTCGGGATTCTTCATTCAGGGTTCCTTAGTAAGGATTCGTTATCAAGGGCTCCTTACTAAGGAGTCTACTAACAAATTAGTTCACATGCTGAGGTTCGCAAGACAAAAGGGGCATATGCCCGCGCGCCCATGGGGAGGATGTCTCACGCGAAACGCACAGCCCGCCTTACCGACGCGTCTGGTGGTGCGACAGGGAGAGTTGTTCATGATGGAAAAGGATGAAGGAGGAGGAAGAAAAGGAAGAGGAGGAGGAGGCTATTCAGCAAACGGTGCAGCGGGATCCGGGCCTTGTTCGTTCGATCCTTTCGCATCAGTTATTCCTCTCTCCTCCAATTATCTCTCTTTCGTCTTCTCTCGTCCTCCTGTTCTCTCCTTTCCGCCCTCGCCTCGTCTCGCTCTCACGCCTTTGGGGGGGGGGGGGCGGCAGGAGGACCGCTGCGTCCAGTCGCGCGTCGCCCCTCTCCGCCCCGGCGCGGCCGCCTCCCGCTGGAGCAGGCCAAAAGCAAGGAGGCGGAGGAGCTCGAGCAACTCCGCAACGACATGCACATGGAGGAGCTGGAGGCGTCGCCCCCGCCTCCCTCTCAGAGTGGGACGACTGCAGTGGAAACCCATGCCAGGAAACGCCCTGCTTCCCTCCAGGGCGCCCTGATCTTCGTGGGCTTCGATGGCTCTGTTGTGGAAAGCGCGACGCTCCCACACCAAAAATCAATGGACGCCCTGTGGTCTCAGGGTTGGGTTTCTTGTAGAAGGTTTCTTGTGGTCGAGCTCCGACTGTATCCCGCTACCGCTGCCCACTCCTCGCCGCCGTGGCTGGATTCGTTTTGACATGCTGACCAGAACGCACCCTTGAAGGGGTCCAGGGAATATAGCGGCCTCAAAACTGGCCGAGGCCATCCTGGGCCCTGGGTCGATCGGTGCATACGCCCTCCTGGCCTGGGCGGGAAGGCAAGGACACCGATCCTGGGTTCAGGATCGGCCCAGGCAGGCTCGGTGCAGGCGTATAGCTGGTGCCCTCCGGGAACCAGCGCCCGCCCTTCCCATGCATCCTGTCCTCATCCCTCTCGTCCTCCTCCTCCTCCTCCTCCTCCTCCTCCTCCTCCTCCTCCTCATCCTCATCCTCATCCTCATCCTCATCCTCATCCTCATCCCTCTCCTCCTCCTCCTCCTCCTCCTCCTCCTCCTCCTCATCATCATCATCATCATCATCATCATCATCATCATCATCATCATCATCATCATCATCCTCATCCTCATCCTCATCCTCATCCTCATCCTCATCCTCATCCCTCTCCTCCTCCTCCTCCTCCTCCTCCTCTTCCACTTCCTCGAGGCCGCCTGGGGCAGGATCGCACTTCGCCGATTGTCCGCCGCGGGCCCCGTGTTCCGACTGCGTGCACGCTGCGGGCGATGCCCGCGCCGCCGGCTTTCTTTGCCGCAGGGCTCGCGCACTGGACAAAACGGTCGGCGGCGTCCCCGAGTGGTCGTTTTACTCAGAGGAGAAAAAGGTACCCATACCGCTACCCTCCGCCCGTTTTCCCCTTTTTGGGCCTCCTCGGAGTCCCTCGTCGCCTCCGTTGGATTCGCCTCGAGATCCTGGTCAGAACGAACCCCGGGAGAGGTCCTGGGAGTAGCGGTATCGGTACCTTTTGGTCTCCCCATTTACAGCCCTCTTGGGGCGACTGCGGGAATTCGGGGGCTGTCCAGAGGCCATCCTTTGGCCGTCTGGGTGCGCTCTTTTGCCTCTGGACCGTCTTGGACTCTAAAGCGAGCTGAGGGACGTAAGGAGTGGAAGCGAGCGTGCGCCCGCGGCCGCGTCGGCTCAAGCGGCCGGCCGCCCAAATATGACTGTGCCTCACCGCGAGGCACACACTCGTTATCGAGACCAACATGATCTTTTTATTGTTTAAGATGGCACATCCTTTCCTATCGGGACTATCGTTACTAACGTACAACGGAGCAGGAGTTCGGCTCCGCCTGAGCGAAGCTGCTGGCTGGGCCTCCCAGCCCCGTTCAAACTTGGTTGCGGAGCTGGCCTATGGTGGCCAGCTCTCGTTTTACTCGTCACCATCCACGGCACTATCTGGTGGACTACGGACGCGGTGGAACATCAGGGTGCAGTGGGTTTGCGCGGAGGAATGTATATAGTTTCGCAATACCGCAAGGACACTTGCAGCGATACCTCTGCTCAGGCGGAGGTCTCTTACTTACATCCTACATCCCTGCGCTTCTACACTCCTGAAGTCCACCCGCTTATTCACATGGGAAATATCTTCGAATATTCAATGCATGGGAACATGCGGTATGAAATGCTGCCGCCTCCAACCCCACGCAGACTTACGACTACCCAACGGAATTCCCAACCGACTACATCCGACTCCGACCTACGAGGTCATTGGATTGGTGTTACTATCTTTGGGCTCGAATGGGTCGCTATCGGGTGTGCGGTAGGACATATGCGTGGCGGAGACGACACAAGAACGACCGGACCTCAGTGGAACCCAGCCGGTCTAGTACCTTTTCGCGAATTCGTCCGCGAAGTACATGCCTGGATCAACGTGACCACAGGCAATATGACGCCCTCCCAGCAAGCTGCAGCTCTGCGGCGAGGTTTGGGAGGTCTCGCAAGGACCATATCCATGAGAGTTCCTCCAGCAGTTATCAACGTCGGCGTCAACATAGGTGGCCGCCATACTGACGGCGCCGCCTACATCATGTTCATCTTAAGGACGAAATTCGAGAACTTAGAAGAGGAGCGCCAACTCAACTCTGGCACGGCCCTCATTGATTTCCGAGTCCATGCGGGAGAACGCATCGGCCAGACTTTAGCACGGTTTCAGATAGCCCGCTAAGAAGTTGAAACAGCCGGCTTCAACATGCCCAACTTCCAAAGCCTAACAGCGATTATATTCAGAGCTTTTGGAGTGGGGACATCGCGTGCACAACAATTCCTGCAGCCTCTAAACTACCGCATGCCGAGAGACCAACAACAAATTGACGCTCTACATGAACGCATGAGGTCATCTGCTCACAGTGCTGAGAGAACCCCGGCAATACTGGTGGCATCTTCAGTCACGGTCACCGAATCGAAACCTTCCACGTGGAGGCTAACGCAGGGCAGCCCGCCAACAACGTCTGGAATGATGATCCACAACCAACTGAGACCACTACACTGTTGGCCCAGAGTGGTGGATCGGCCTCGGGGTCGCAAGACTCCTGGGCCAGGCTTTGGGGGCCGCCCGATGCGGTTTGCCCCATGCAAGCCATGGCCCTAATGGGCTCAGTGGGGCAACCCGCCGAGTCCGACTTCGACGCCGGTGACGATACCGATGCGTCTTCAAATGGCGAGGCTACAGCCCTCGATTACTCTGATATGCCTACGTATCTTACTGAAGAGCAACAAGCGCGATGGCTATTTTAGGCTATCAAAAACACAAGCGTCGCTGGCGGATCCATGAAGAACCAGTCCGAAAGGTAAGGCGCATCGCGCGAAGATTGCAAAACAAAAAAAAAAAGAAGAAACAAAAACAAAAAAAATAAAAAAGAAAAGGCACAGGTCGAAGTAGGGGTAGAGGTAAGCGTCGGCGATTGCATCGTAGAGGCACACTAGCTTTCTTAGCGTCTTACTGAACCTCAGTAGGAAGAAATGTTCTTAGGTGCTGGCAGAAACCACAGGCATACATCGGGCAAAGGCAAAGGGCGACGGGGAAATCCAAAGGATGCCAGCGGTGAAACTATGGAGTGCGACGCGTGCCACAGCACGCAGCATTTCCGACGCGAGCGCCCTCAAGGTGATGGAAGAGGCAGGGGTCCGTCAATGCATTTGGCTCAAACAGATTCCGATTTTCCGACATTCAGTTTGTTGACTGGGGGTCTCTTTTAACTGGCCCTGCCGATAGCTCAGCCACAAGTGTTAATTTCATGGCCGCCAGATCTCAGCGCCAGCATGGCCTTCGAGAATTACGCCGACGGCGACGTCGATCTGGCAGAATGGCTGGGCATGCCCATCGCGGGGGGCAACCTGCAGATATCGAATATGTCGAGAGCTCCCACATGCCCGCCGAAGGAGATGCTGACGCGGCGGGGGCACCCGCGGATTCAGAAGTTACCATTCCTGCAACAGACGAGGAATTGCAGTCGATGCTCTATCCTCGGGTTGTTGGACTTCCGACAGATATGGAATTTAGTGATGGTGATATTTTGCGGGGAAACCCGCGAGACGCTGGTGATCTATCTGGGCGTATTCAATATGAGCTTGGTCATAATGAAGAATTTCAATATACTCTTGTTGCTTCAGACCGGCCCATGAGCCGCCAGAGGCGATCGGCAAGCCGCCAGTTCTGGAGGAAGAAGCATCGCGACGACGACGAGGGCGAACAATGGGAAGATAGCGACCGCATGATACGTCGCGGTCGGACCCCCAGTCGCTCACCTGATCGCACGCGCGCCCGCTCCAGCGGCGCTCGCTCTAGCGGTCTTCAGCGCCCTCATCTTCCTGATGTGGGGGCTCCAAAGGCCCCGCCATGGCGGGCCAACAGACCGGCCGCTCCCCCGAGGAGGGGGCGCTTGCGGGGGCACCCGCCTCAAGGTGATCAACCGCGAGAAGAATATCCAGAGGGCGGAATCCAGCGCCTCACTGGCTACGCAGAAGTTGGATTGGCTCGTCAGCGCGTGCCCCCAGAAAAGATGGGATGCTATTTGGCCCATGGTTGGACCGATCATCAGATCGCCACTGGCATTCCCCTCGCAATGTTCAACGAGATGAACAAGGCAAGAATACGCGCTCGAAAAGGACAGGACCTGTTAAATCACAAAATAAGATGGCCACGCGCAACCGCAAGAGGGCTATCATCGAGGAACGAAAGCTCTACAGAAACGTGCGTTGCTCATGCCCCGAATTTGCTGACCACAGGCTCGGCTGCCCCATGAGACGCCCATCAAGAAGCCCGAACTTTGAGAAGACACCGCGGGTTTGGTCTCATGGTGATGGTTGGGGTCACTGCGACGACCCCATTACAACGCCATATGGGGATCAGCTGACGGAGAGCTACTACGACCACGCCGCAGCTAATGAAATAGCCCGAACAAACCTCATGTGGAAGAGCATGTCTCCTCTTCATCATTTGGCGCAGTTCAATCGCGATTGGCACGCAGGGAAACCTGCTGATCACAGATCAGAAGAATAATATGATCAACAAGAAGGTGACGAATATGAAGATGATGAGATGGCCGAAGAAGTTGACCCCGCGGACGCGCCCCCTGAAGGGCACGCGTCGGACGATTCTGGCGTTGCGGACGCCGCGTGGCAGACGAACGTTCCGACTGAGCCCAAGTACGTTGTTTTTGAAACGATGGACCTCTTCCCTGATAGTGAGATTGCCTACCGCGCTGAAGGTGCAGGCTGGATAAAGACAAGCACCGTAGAAACACGCAGCGCCACCACGCACCTTCTCTCAGGAAAACACAAGACCACAATTAAGAACCTGGCCCTCAGAACGCCAGATGGTCGCGCATTGAACCCTGACCGGGGCCCCGCGCGATTTGGATCAGGGGCGCCGGCGCAG